AATTCACACCCGGAAGAAGAACCCGAAAGAAGAGAAGCAATTATATATGAAAAAAAACTCCAAGACGAAGAAAACGGTGACTCCAATAACTCCAGTAATGACGGCTCCACCGGCGAAATCAAACCCGGAAGAAAGAGAAGCAGTAGTAAATATAAAGATCAAATAAAAAAAAATGATAAAAACTTATCTGATTGGCCGATCTGTTGGTAAGGGTGGAGATCCGTGTAACCTAGTCCGGAGATCGATTAATCACGTGATCTGGAAATTTTCACCTACATCCTGTATTCGTCATAAAATAGGTGAATTTGGTTTAAATAAAAAATTATTTTTAGGAGTCACCAATAATGGTTCTAATATGAAAAAAGCTTTTACCATGTGGGAAGATATTGAATAGTTACCCTGTTCTGCTCATACTCTTCAATTATCAGTGATGAAGGGTCTAAAAAAAAAATGGTCCTTATGTAAAAAGGTTCAAAGAATTGGTAAAATTTTTTACAGAATCAGTTAAACAATCAGAGCAGCTTGATGAGGCACAAATAGATCTTGCATAACAAAATCATATTCAAGAAGAGGATGTTGAAATTGTTCGATTTAATCCGTTATCAGCTCTTGATATAGATGAAGAAATTGGTTTAGAAGAAGAGGATGAAGATAGAGAAATTGATGAATCTACAATAAAAGTGTTGCATAATATTACTGATATTTGTACTAGATGGAACTCTAGTTACTATTTATGGACAAGACTCTTAGAATTAAAAGATGCAATAACATGGTTAGCATCCGTGTTGCCCTTAAAGAAAAGAAAAGAAAATAAAAGAGACAGTCAAAAATTGTCTCAGTTACTATTAAAAGATTATGAGTAGGATTTGTTAAAAAGAATTGTAAATACATTAAAACCATTTGAGCATGCAACTAAATTCTTTTCAGGAAGCAAGTATCCCACTCTTTTGCTAATGTATCTTATCATTCATAAATTACAAAATAAATTTATAGATATGAGTTTAGAATTAAGTAATAATGATAAAGATAGCGACAATGAGGATGGTAAGTTTTGTTGGTTTTATCGATTCTACTTTACTAATGTGACAATTAATATTTAAAGTTTGCTGATGATTAGTAATCATTATAATTATTAATCACTGCAGTAGTAGATTTTTAAATATTAATTATCACATTATATGATGTTAACAACTTATTTTTAAAAATCTGCTAATTATGATGACACTCATTCACAAGCCCCTTCACCACCACCTGATCTTGATCAAATAGAAAAGCAATTTAAAATTGCTATTTATAACTCTTTGAATAAATATTGGTATGATTTTCGTGAAGTTGGATTGGTAGCTACCCTTTTAGACCTCAGGACCAAAAGAATGTCTGCATTTACAAACAGAGAACGAGAAAAGGCTGAAACAAAATTAAGGAATGAATTTGAGAATTTACAACGTATTAATAATACTAGCAATGATCAACCAGTGCAACAAACATCGTCAACAGTTATTGAAATAATGCAAAATCTATTTTTTGAAGATATTTTTGGAGTACAGGGTCAAGAAGATATACCTTTGGATGAGGTGGCACGATATCTGAAGATTACCCCTATTAATAATTATAATGTCAATTCTTGAAACTGATGGAATAATCATAAAACTGAGTTTCTAATTTTGTTATTGTTAGCACGTAAATATTTATGCATACTAGCAACTTCCGTCCCATGTGAGAGACTTTTCTCAAATGTAGAAAACCTGATTACTCCCCAATATACACGATTAAGCTCAAAGATTATTAGAAAAATTCTCTTTTTAAAGTGTAATGCTGAACTTTCAAGTAGGTTTAAAAATTTATATATTATTTTTGATTCAAATATGATTTTTTTCATATGCAATTCTCAAATTCTTTCATGTTATTTACAATAGACTTAATCAAATAACGATTAAAAAAAAAAATTATATGAAATTTAGGCTGAAAAAGACAAATATAAAGACACCAAGACAATCATTATTATCAAAAATATGCTAACGCTTATATTATTGGAGGAATGTGCTATGAAATTGCTATAAACAAAAATACATTTTGCTATAATTAAGGTTAAAGGTACTGATGGTGAATATAATCCTAATGGATAGATAGAGTTTTGCAATAATAGCTTGACTTTTTAATGAAAAATAGTACCATTCAAAATTCTATTTTAAATTGCGTAAGATAACCAGAATATGCAATTAGCTGTTATATTCATTATGGCCCATATTTTAGTTATTGGGCATGATATTATCAAAAAGGATCGAAAGATGGAATATATAGGTAGCGCTAAAAATGAATTTTCATTTTATCTTTTTTTTTTGTGCATTTTAAGTAGAGATTAAACTGGAATAAATTGAATTGTGAATTTGGCTAATTAGCGTTAGCAGTTTAACAATAATATTTTCATTTTTAGTTTATCTTTAATGATCTTCCTTATATAAATAATATACAAGTTTTAGACATTTGTTAATATGGATCTAATCAAACCTTTTGCTATTTCAGATGCAGTGTTATTCAATAAATAAAAATAAAAGCAGCCGCAGCAAATCCATGTATCAAAACAACTTAGAAATGCCTCTAGATAATTATTAAGACAGTTAGATAACTAAACTATGAAACGATTATTAAATGGTTATACGATTAAATAAATGGTTAAACGATTAAGTGATTAATAAACGGTTATACGATTAAATAAACAGTTAAACGATTAAGTGATTAATAAACGGTTATACGATTAAATAAACGGTTAAATGATTAAGTGATTAATAAATGGTTAAACAATTAAACGGTTAAACAATTAATAAACGATTATACAATTACGATTAAATGGTTAAGTGATTACACGATTATACGATTATTAATTGTGTAACTTTTAATTAGTCGATGTGATTAATTGCCAGTATAATTTTTCACGGTTCCAAACCTTAGTTTGTGAAAACAACATATCTATTAAATTTAATGCAGCTACTATCCCTTAC